GGGGGGGGGGGGGCATTGTATCACCTTAGCCTTCATCAATTTCGACCGCTCAATGTGTTGCCAAATCAAAATATATAAACCTATTAGAATCAATTTATCTATTTGGTTATATATATATACATATCTATATCGATAAGGGTATGTTTATAATATTCAAAATGTTGACAAGTGTGGAACACATCATACAACATAGGTTTTGTGAGGAATTAAGTTTTACTCGTCATTGAACTGTGATGAATAATTTTACATTTTAATTTGTCATCCTTGTCAATTTATTTGTTAACTGGCTAAAATGCATATAAGCTATAAGAAACACATTCATTCAAAGCCAAAGAAAGGTTGAAGATTGTGACAGTCTCTTCAATTATGTCGTTACTTTTAGATAACTCGCTCTATTCACCTGTTGACATTGAGAAGTCATACATTGTATTTTTAGTGATATTGATAGACTTTTGTATCAATAAGTAAAAGAAAAAACACAGGCTCAGTATTCAAACCATAGAATCATTTATTTAGTAATGACACGGTAGTTATAATTATTTTACACAAAAAATGATAAAAATAGCAATAGTCTATCTGGACAATAACGGAAATTATATATATATATGCAGACTAAAAAATAATCAACAAGGCAAATCTATTTAACATCGCTATCGACTGGTGATTATTTTCATTGTCTTTATTACAACTTGTTTAGTCTGCATATGAAAATGTTCACCAGGTCTTCTTTTACAAATTGAAGGATGTAAAAAGTTCAGCAGGTGTCGAAAATAACAAATTGAACTATGTTAACTTGTTTAATTCTTTACATTCTTCAATTGGTTATACGATGAAGTGTAATGAGACGTCTTTTCCTTCATTTGATGTTTTAGTTCAACTAGGTTAAAATAAGATTACACCTGAATTGTATTGTAAAAATGAGAATATTAACACTTTTGATTTACGTAAAAATGATTTGCAGATAGATGAATTTAAACGGTATAATAGGAGATTTGAGTTCAAGGTGGTATATGTAATATCTACAAACCTCTCCCCCTTCCAAATATATGAATGATCTTCGTTGTTACTACCTCAAATGAAGTTAAGAAAACGTTTGACTGCGATAAAAACGCAAAAATAAGTGACATTATATAAATAATGAGAGAAGCGAAAACATTTCCCTGTGGATGGACTAACAGGGATACAAATTGAAAGCATGTTTTGCCTAAATATAACAAAATAACTCAAAACATACACCAGTCAACAATGTTTTACAACTGCTGAAGAAAACGAGCTCCATTCGCTTCTTGGTCTTTCAATCACGTGAAAATTGCTAGACATACGCTTAAACCAACAAATATTAGTACTCCCCGGAGATATATACCCTTCAGCTTAAGGGTTAATGTTAACAAAGTGGATGAATCTGCACTTATTCTGCATCCACTGAAAAAAACCCGTGACATTAGTGGGTGCGGTTATAAAAGTTGATGACAGAGTATTGTATTGTTTCTCTACAGTAAAGAGAGCACAAGTACGACGAAGTTCCAGAGGTGGTTGTACCATACCAATGGTTTATCTCTGTTAAAGTTAAATAAGAACTGAAAGTTGAAAATCTATTCCATTGGTCATTCATTATTTTTACTGTCAGACTTTTTGTACCCTGTTTTCTTTTATAACCATTCTAATGCCGTTGTGAGAACCAATTGCGTAAGTTTTGAAATATAGTAAAGGACAGCAGCGTGGAGACAAGATTTGCCAATTCGATTGCCGACCTTAGATAAGTCAGAATCCTTTTCAGGATGTTCCACAGCAGTAATGACGAACACGTCTTAGTGTTTACCCAGGCTGGATTCCCATCCTCCGCAAGACAACATTCTATACTGTTTTCCTGGTCATTCGTTGATATTTCAATGTAACTAACATTCTCATTTGTACAATTTTCTAAATCATGGAGTTTAATACGCAGTCTAAGGTTTCTTCTGTGCATAACGAATTCACCATTTATTTTCTCGCCTGTCCATTTCAGAAGTTTTCGATTTATCATATCAACTTGGCGTAGTCGATCGTCATCTCCGTTATAGTCATGGACAAGGAACTTCGAGCCGTTTTGCATTTTATCAATCTCTTCAGAATTTACCTCGTCGCAAAAATGTTGGTCCTTTGAGACATCTTTTGCCTAAAATGGTTAAGCACTTTTATTAGAGAAATATCTCATTCGAGTTTCGACATTGATAGCAAAACAAGTCAAATTTGTTTGATCTTTCAATTCAGTATTTACAACGAAGAAGAATTTCAAATATTGATAGAGACTCGACCATACGTATAAACATGTTTTTCTTGTCGTAATTTCCATATTGTGTATCAGGCATATGAATGCTGTCATAATGTTAAATATATTTAACACCGGTAAATTTACAATTGTGGATGTACATGGCGACGATATTTCTACACTCCAATGTAGACGTTATAATGTAGTAGGGAAGCTTTACGTATTCTTGTTATAGTTGCTTGCCTCATAACAAACATAACATTTGACGAAAATGAGTTTTTAAGTAATTTCTCCAATAGATGAATAAAAAAATCTCAACATTATTGCTTAACCATTTTGTGAAAATGTGTCAATTGTGAGAGGGTAAAGCTTTCTTTAAAGATATTATAGCATCATAATATTATTCGGGTATCATTCTATGACAACATAATATGACGCCAATACACATCGTTGTTGTACAAAATTAAACATAGATTTATATAAAACCTCTACATATAGCCAATGAGCGATGTTAAGTCTGCATTGCACGTATTATTTCAGTAAATGGAATCGAATGCCTTAAACGTTGTAGAAGTTAAAGCATTTTCTTTTAAATATGATTTTACCCTTGGAAGAAATGAGGGGAATGATTTTTTCTTTAAACCAGTGTATAACCACAACATTTTCTGTATATCTTATTGTATTGTACAAATCTTTTCAAATATAATTTTAACATTCGTACAAATATACTAAACATATAAAATGTTTGTTTATTTATTATATAACCCAGTTGTACATCAAATTACAACACATGCCCTTTGTCCAACTCTGACACTAGGAGAAACTACATATGATGATAAGGGGTCAACATACAGCGTTGGGGAGGGGAAATAGACAAATTTCCAATAATTAGAGGTAAATCAAAGGCGGAAGTTATTATACAATACTAGGACTCGAGATAAGCCTATGACAAGAGAAATAGACAACCATTCAAGGGTTGAGGTAAGGCTAGGGTGGAAGGGAACCAGCTATTGCAGTCTGGAGGTCTGTCTACCGGGGAAGTGGGGAAGTGGGTAAGGAAACATAATTTATACCACTGTTTTCTTAAGTATATTTATTTTCGATCAACAGACTCAATTTAAAAAGTCCAATAAACATTAAGTAATACTTACAGGCATGATGGAACTTGTCTAGAATTTCAAAACAGGGACGTCTCTAAATTAGTTTTAAACCCCAACTCAACATCAGACGACTGACTTGGACCTACAATGTATAACAGACAACAAAAGTTATCAGATATTTTATGATATCTCCGTAAAAATGTATCGCTTCATTATATAAGTATACGTCTATACAGGTACGGAAGTCGAGTAGGAGCACTTACATCTTGTAATTTCGACGATCATTCTCGTATTTACTACATGTATATATCTTTATAATTTCATTACACCATTCTGGATTATTACTGTGCTGATCAAAATCTGCTGCTGCAATTGTGATGGAATTCAAACGATATTTAAAAAAATGACTATATATGCCTATTTTTGAAGAAAACATACTTCAAATGTTAGTCATGGTTTCACATGAGCTAAATTTAAAATTAACATATAGTATATGTAGTGAGAGTACACATACGGCTGAATGGGATGTCAAATTAGAAAAATAAAAAACAAAATTCTTTATTCAACTAGGTATATAACAAGAGGCTCAAAGGGGTTGTATCGTTCACCTGAATATTTAAGCAACCAATGCAAATTATTTACATTAAATATGTTAATGCAAATGTTTCGAAATTTGGTCTGTATCCCTCAGCAACACCCCAAACCCTTTGTCCCCATTATTGGCTTTGGGCACGAGTGGTTTACTGTTAAACACGTTGACTTCTATTGGGACAAGGCTCCCTAACGATTTGGTTCCCTTCGTCCTGTGAAAAATTAACCCCCGTAGAAAAGTCACCAGTGTCTTAAGAAAAGGAAACACCAACCTGTATCCACGATCACACACCAATGTATCCACGATCACACACCAATGATACTGATTTCTCTCCTCTGCGAGATCATGTTCATCTAATCCGCCCAGCCATCCGTCACCCCTCCGCCCTTTCGAAACACTTTCTTGTTAACATTCTGCAGCCTTTTCTCAAAGATTTGACAAATCCTCGAATAAATAATCGCCCTATACAAAATTCGGACATGTTTGAATGTGTACGTGACCGGTCAAGGTCACTGTTACTTAATTGATAATAATAATTTCACCGACCAGTCATTCTGGCATCTGTTCGTGGATTTTGATTAAGATTCTCAAGAATGTTTGCTTCGAACATGAATTTGAATGTTAGAATGACGGGCGTGATCAGTAAAAGGTTAATTATTGTTTTCACTAAAAGTATATCATGATCGAAAACAGCTTTTCATCACTCCATCATTAGCATTTCGCCAAGGGTCATAAGATTTCTGTCTGGGCATGCATAGGACAACTAAAAATACATGCATTTGTGATCGCTCAAAGTTCAAGTTTGATATTACCATAAAATAGACGTTTACCAAAAAAGCTTGTCATCGCTGCTAGGTCAGCTGCATTTTCTGTAAATTTCGATGGAATTTAACCGGCACGAGTTTGAATTAAACTAGGGTAGGCCACAATTTTAGGTCACCATTATCGATACTACAAATGGAGCCTCAACGAATATTGTTGGTATGATTGATGCATCTTTTCATTTCACCAAACTTTTCGGGGAATTTTGTTTTGCCTTTCTTGTATACATGCACGTGTATAAACTTCAGACATGTAACTGAATTGTCATATGTTCAAATATATTGAAATCTTGCTGACAGAAGCAGTTCCGTGAATGGGACGCATCTAGCTATGTACATATATCAGATGAACACAAATGTTAAATAAGTATGATGAATTTATGACCTTTGAAGCAACTGACGTGCCAAAATCTCGGATTCTGACTTACCCACAATATGAAACAACACGAACGATCTTTTAATTTCGAACAATATTTGTTGTTACAAAGAAAGTATCTCATACGCGTCTTTATTTGGTTCGGAGTAAGTTTCGGTGAGAAAAACGGAGGTAAAATCCATATATTCGTACAGGAGAAAAATTTGAAAACATGCTGAGAGTTGTTAAAACATCCATCTCATTGTATTCAGTTTGCCCTTTCGCCTATATAGATAAATTGTCTTATCATTTGTTGCAAGCTTAATCGGTTAAATCACAATCGCCTGCTTCTTGAATGGCGTTATATACTTTTCTGTGTTTGACAATAATTGCTGTTACTACTTAAGCTATCGATAAGGAAATAATACCGTTAGTTAAAATGTTAATAACAACTCTAAACAAGAACAAGCAGTAAAATATATAATCTTATAAACCGCAGGTGTGCAAGTCTATAACAAACAGCCTCACCTTTCTATTTACCATTTAAGTAGAATGTATAATAATATTACTCTGTTCTGTTCATATACCCTAATGCATATAGGTTTTTAATGGTGTTCATTACCCGACATATTTGACTTAGCAGTTGTTTCTATCACACATGAAACTCGACCGTATTAGGGGAGAGGGATATGTTTTTGAACGATGTTTTTTTAACTGGTTAACATGTCTAGGATAGCTGTCTTTCACTGGAGTTTTGCTTGTATTTTCAACAAAATTAAAATATGAAAATAAACCATTTTCTTCGAAATTTAGCAAAGCCTGCATGCCTTTAAGAGGAATTTCGAAGATGATGGTCGGTTGCGGGTTGGTCGTTTATTGAAATAAATAACAGTATTGTTTAAACAGTTCTCGCATCAATGCGTAATTTCAATTTGAATGCAACGATGGGTATTTGCTTGAAAGAATTGAATCAACCATTTAATGCCAATTAACAAAAACAAAAATGTTAACGGTTTCACATTCCGTTTTCGATGGCAGCTTGTTTCCGACATCATGGCAGGGTACTAGAATGTAATTCGTACATTTTCGTGTGATCGTTGGTAAAAATTGTGGATGGAAAGTGTAAAAATGCCTTTGTTATATAATCATATATGTATCTGGACTAAATTGATAATTAAGTATGGCGTATTAAAATGAAATGTCGGAATAAAAATATAGGAATGAATGAGTGAGCAACAATGGGTCAGTAGAATGGAAAATAAAACCTTGCCTGCTTAAGGATAAATGAAAGTACTGAAAGTACGCCAGACACATGCTTTCTTAGTGATACATTATTTACATAGTTATATAATACTTTAGGAAAAAAGAACACTATACAGTCAGTTGACATGCAGGAAAAACACAACTTAAATGTTGAAACTGATGTGAACGGATTTTTATTCTTATTTAATGTCTGTGTTGGCAATAATCTGAAACGCATTTCCCCTCCAAGGACCAACCACAAGTACTGCTTCGAGAGCTTTTGGCTCTGTTGTTGCCATAAATAAAGAGTGGACTTCCGAATGCATAAGTTACTGTTGCAATATCTCCTCAGTGCCTATTGGTAGAGGGTGAAACCATATATTTCCTATAGACCAGTAGTAGTGCACGTGTCACAACGGTCTTTAGGTCAACTAGGATTTTGCCATGTCGTATGTCAGTATACACTTCCTAGTATGATTATGTTAATGGCAACAGTATGAAAAGTAAATGAATTCCCAATCACAAAGAAGAATAAAAAGTTTAACCATTTGTACTACATATTTGCTAATTTCACTGATTGGTGTATTCAGTCAGCCTTACCAGAATGTTAGGTGCCCCACTTCGACTTTCAGAACACATTGTCCCAGTGGCCGATGCAGTGCGAAAATAAGAAGACCTTTATTATGTCCCGGGTCGCATTGACTCGCTTGTTATATCAAATTTTCAAAGACTGAATAAATGTGTCATTTAGTCATTCCGTTACTGTGTGCTTATGTGGACTTATTCCATCAGATTTTTATCGTTCTCACCTCAGGCTTCCTCAGTATTAAACCTTTCAAACATGTCATACGATTCAAATTATTTTGAAATACAATGCTCATATCACAAGACACCTACAAATATCACAATACAAAATTTAAAAAACTACCGCGACAAACAATGACGAACAAACAACAAGTAGATGTAATAAAGGTAAGGATAAGATGATAGATTTTTATCGATTTCGTCTAAGGCTTCCTCGGCAGTATATATCTATATATAGAATCATTGTTGGGCACCGTACTTATATGTATATACATTACTTTGAAACTATATATACAGTATTTATATTACAAGAACTCATTTTTTCCTCGTACTATCACTGATTGGAGCAACCTCCCAGAGTATCTGGTCAAAACAACTGACTTAAAAAACCTTTAAAACTTTACTGCCATCAAATTAAATCAAAGCACGCTCCTTTAACCCTTGAAATATACTCGAATATCGAGTTCTCTTCCAGTATTATACATATACAGGATACAGATACAGCAAACAAAAATGTACACCAAGCTACATATGGGCTTAGAGAAATGTTGAGGCTATGCTTTAAATTTCGATCGCCCCGTAAAGACAAAAGAACGAAATCCCATAGCGTTTGATGCGAGTCTATTAACATGTATATTTGTAGCTTGGTTCTAATTGCTGTGAAATAAATAAAATTCAAGTTTTTTATGTTGGCAGTCACAAAACATTTGGTAGTCTTATGTGCTCGAGTATTGTCCATCTGGGAACAGTGTCTGGGAACATATTACAAACAAGTACTAATTGTAATGGGAGACCATGACAGATGTCCCCCAAACTACCCCCATAGTTGCAAAGATGCATCAGAAAATGTTCGCAATGCCATATAATACACTTACAATATACATACTAACTTTGAGTGACATCGCACAATTTCTGAATTGAGACCAATCAGAAGTGTCTGTGTGGTTGCTATGGCAACAATACATATGCGATTGAATTCGCAGTCCCCTAATACTCCAATATACCAATTGTCATCAAAATCGAACAATATCTGAATTTCGACCAATCAAAGGCCAGGAATTGGCAGCCATTTTGTTTAATCACAAAACAAACACCGCAGTTGTATTTGTAGTGCCATACTACACCGATGCCCCAAATTCCTTCCAAATCGGAAAGTATTTAAATTTTGACCAATCAGAGGAAAAAAACGAAGGCCATTTTGTTAAAATGTGCAATCTAAATCACGGAAGTGATCATTGTCCTATGATACACCTTCATACTAAAGATCAAAATTGGACAATATTTAAATTTCGACCAATCAGAGGACATGAAATGGGGGCCGAGTGATCGTCCCATGATTCACCTACATACAGTTGTGTGACCGCACAACGTACCAAAAACACCGTGCGCCACCGTGCATACATCGTTCACACACCGTCCGCACATCGTCCACACATAGTGAGCACAACTGGTGAGCGCTTCTCTACGCACAACTGTACGATTTGGTACAATTTGTTGATCAATATTACGGAATGAAAAAAATACGGAAGGCTCGTATGCAATAATGTACACTGTATATATATAACTGTTATTCTCTCATCTCTATAATTAAGATTATGTACAATTTTACAATGCGTGTAACAAAGTATACAGTGACCGTTACACTGTCAAGAATTGGTTTGGCTTCTCGGTAACAGAACAGGTAAATAACAATTTGATGAGTGACCAGAGTTTTACCTGGCCTTTGTCTGACACATAGAGCTGATAAGTGATACCGTATGACCGTTATGAAAACACAACTGGACGATTAATCTTTGTTATTTGCATTCGCTTTGGTTTATAGCTCCCCTTCACCTGGTTTTCACACCTTGGCGAGTTACGTAAGTGCCCCGGGCGGGGGAAAACCACGGTCCAGGTTCAAAGTGGCTATGTTTACTTGTGTTGCCGAGCCTGTATTGTAATTTTATATGTGTCGATTAAGGTCCTTTAAAAACACCGAAATCACCATTTCTAAATTTAAGAAAGTATAGAAAGAAAGATAAACTTATAGATGTAACTTAAATAAACACGTAACCGTATTTATTGTTAAGCCATTCCTCAATTTACACCAACCGCGATTGTTATCGCACAACGTTCGTCGATCGTCCGCACAAATGTGCGCAAGCAATGATCGTCCAATCTTTTATCGTTCGCACTTCGTGCACACATCGTTCAAACACCGTGCACACATCGTGCGCACACCGCACATCGTGTACCGTTGTGCGATCCCACAACTGTACCAAATTTTATCGAAATCCGACAATATTTAAATTTCGACCAATCAAAGGTCAGAAAATTGGGGCCATTTTGTTTAATCACAAAACATATACAACTGCGGTGTTTGTTTGTTTAATCAGAAAACAAACACCGAAGTTTTATTTGTAGTGCCATACTACACCTATGCACCAAAATTCATCCAAATCGGAGAGTATTTAAATTTTGACCAATCATAGGGAAAAAGCGGCGGCCATATTTTTGAAATGTGAAATCTAAGGTACGGAATTGATCATTGTCCTATGATACACCTACATACTTAATTTGATCAAAATTGGACAATATTTAAATTTCGACCAATCAGAGGACGGATATGGGGGTCATTTTGTTGAAATGTGAAACCTAACTAACGGAAGTGATCATTGTCTCATACCAAATTTGATCGAAATCCGACAATATTTAAATTTCGACCAATCAGAGGTCAGGAAATGGCGGACAATTTATTTAAACACAAAACAAACACCGCAGTTGTTTTGACAGTGCCATACTTCACCTATATACCAAATTTCATCAAAATCAGACAATGTCTTTATTTGACCAATCAGAGGGCGCTGTCCGGCTGACCAATCAGAGGGCGCTGTCCGGCTGACCAGTCGGAAGACCGATCGTAAAACGAAAATACTCTTGCGCACCGCCTGTCATACACGAACACTCATGTAAAGTTTCGTTGAATTCCGGTATTCGAGAAACATGTCGGAAACCTCGTCGGCGGAAGAAAGTGGAAGAAATAATAAAATCACAAATACATTCAGATGTCATGTTTTATGACGTATTAGTTGCACGGTGTAGTAGATATAAATGATACAGATAAGTGCATAGTATTATATAGTATATATACACCGTATTACTATTAGTGTGTCCAGCACTATTGGATTAGTGCAGAAAATTTGTGGTAAAATGTTGCTTTATGAAATTGTCAATGTAAAAAATATAACGTACACCCGGAAATAGACCGCCAATCATGTAAAATAGTATACATACCGAATTCTCAATCGGGAACTGTCGGCACTTTCCGTAAACGAGATAATATTTTTTCGTTTTCGGAAAGTGCCGACGATTCCCGATTGACTTAGTAAGAAATCCCTGATATCATTATACACGGGTAGCAAAAATCCACACGGTGACGTAATAGACAGGTTCCCTACAGTCGGAGCTCCCTAATGTGTTTATACATTGTACACATGGTTGGTCGGTTGATGGGTGTTACGTCTACACTTCACTTACGAAGTAGGTGTTTGGTCGACGTAAGGGGTAAAGTCCAGCCAATCCAGGTCACGCCCTGAGGTCGGTCGGACAGCTCCTCAGATGCGAACAGGCTGCTACAGCTACTGCGGTCCACGGAACGACGTCCTTAGTGTAGTCCTCGCTGTCCTCCTATGATTGTTTGTACACGGGTAGCAGAAGGATTATATGTTGCAAACACTGTCTCTTTGGTGGCCTTGTCAAAATTCAAGTGACGTATGAAACCAAAACAACCAATTAGGATTCCTTATTCGTTTACGTGACATATCTGGGTTTTTTATTTTAAAATCCGGTTTTACTTAAATATTTGTTAATCACGGTAGTAAACGTGACGGCTCGACTTACTTTGTTTTTCAAGGTGACATTAAAAGGGTTGTTATTTACCGACTGGCTAGTGAGACACGCTGCACTGATCATGACTGCACACATACAAAACGGAATATGACGAGATAGGCACGCAATAAATTGCCTTGGACAAATGTTGAGGCTATATGCTTCAAATTTCATCGCCACGAAAAGATGAAAGAATGAAATGGCACAAAACAGCTAATGTATTTTCACCTGAAGCAGGTGATTATTTGTTACATCGCGTTTGTTATGAGTGTATTGACATATATATTTAATGGTAGAGTGATTAATATAAGTTGAAATAATTTGGTTCTAATTGTTATTTATATAGCGCCCTATTGCAACATATCGATACTAGTATTAGTTATAATTGTGAAACAAAAAAGGCTTACAGTCACCTTTATACAGTAAGAAAGCAGATAAACATCGCAATGTGCAAATAAATGAATAAATAAAGGGTGGTATTTACATGACGTCTTTGCAAAGAGCCTAAAACGTGAAGAGGTAAGTTTTGATGTCCTTCTTGAATTTGACTTTCTAATAGCATATGGTAAGCTATTCCACAACGTGCCAGATACCCCCAAAGCATTGGTTTCCATAGGTCATACGAGATTTTTGGACACACAACAATGATTCTGACTCCGACCGCAGTGATCGTGACGGCTGATACAGGGTAACAAGCTCATGTAGGTACTGAGGAGCTGTGTCATTCAGTGCCTTTTATGTGTACACCAAAATTTTGTACTGCGACCTGTATCGTACAGGTAACCATTGCAATGAATATAGCACAGGTGTGATGTTCTCTCTTATTCGAGTACGAGTAACCAGTCGTGCTGCAGTGTTCTGGACCCTCTTCAGACGACTAGTTAGTTTGTCAGATATACCGCAGAACAGGGCGTTACCATAATTTAACCGAGAAGTAACAAGTGAATGCACCAAAATCTTGCATGCATTTGCAGTTACAAACTGCCGGATACAGCCGATGTTCCGGATCTGGTAGTAACAGGATTTGGCAATAGCATTCACGTGTTGCTCCATGTTCAGTGAACTATCAAAATATACCCCTAGGTGTTTTACAGCTGGGACAGTCTCAATTGTTCTGGCACCGACCTTGAGCTGGAGAGCCATTGTTTGCTGACACATTGGGGGGAAAAGACGATTAGTTCCATCTTTTCCTGATTAAGATTTAGCATGTTGGCGTTCATCCAGGTACTGACACTGTCAGACAAGCTTCCAGATTTTCTGAAATTGTATCCCAATTGTCCTGTGGTTTGAAGACCATGTAAATGTGTGTGTCATCGGCATAGCAAAAGATAGCGAAGGCTATGGTGACGACAGGCAATATTTTCGTGGTCCTAACACCGACCATTGAGGAACACCGAAATCTACTACTTTGTTATGTGAGGTGGTAGATCTGATGGCAACACATTGTCATTGTTCACTCAGATAAAACTGTATCAAGCATACTGCGGTATCAGTCACTCCATAAGAGTACTTCAGACGCTTATAACGTATGCCATGGTCGATGACGTCAAATGCAGCTGACAAGTCCAGCATAACAAGCACTGCTCTGCACTGGCTATCCAATGCAGAAGCTATGTCATTATATTCACGTAGGAGGGCCGTCTCAGGAGTGTCCCATGCGGTAGGCCTCTTGCAGGTTGTCATGGAGACTACGTGCATGGAGATGAACCTCTAAACGTCGGACACAATTTTCTCGAAGATCTTCGACAGAAAAGGCAGATTTGATACTGGGCGGTAGTTTTTCAACTTATCCTTTTCCATTCCAGGCTTCTTCAACAATGGTCTAACATGTGCCTTCTTGAAACACAATGGAACCTTTGACTCAGACAATGAGTTGTTCATGATTCAGGTAATCAAAGGAAGCAGCGCTTCAAGACATTGCTTTAATAGGTCTGTAGGCAATGGATCAAGCTCACAGGACTTCGATTGCGAGGTCATATTGCGCAACTCGTCCTGGGTTGTGAGAGCTTTGTCAATGGTTCCCCATCAAATATAATGTCAGCAGTCATGACAGAGATAATATTGTCTGCAGTTCACTTCGGCAAAATTTTTCCTGATCGAGCTGATTTTATTCAGAAAGTAATCACTGAACTTGTTTGACAAGTCTTTTCCAGAATTACAGCTTGGCAGGTTAATGTCACCTTTCTGACCCATTAGGTTTTTGGTGAGTCTAAACAGCTGTATATGGTCCTTACCACTTTCTTCGATTCTTTCCGAATAATAAGCCTTCTTTGACTGATTGATAAGTGAACTAACTAGCCGACATTGTTCCCTATAAATCTGTTGGTGAACGGTTAGCTTGGTCCTTCGCCACTGTCTCTCTGCTTTTCTACGGCTCCGTTTTCCTACGCGGAGATTTTCATTATACCACGGGGCATTCTGTCTCAGTTATCAACTTAGTTTGTAGTGGTACGTGCTTCTCTATAAGGGCTTCTGTACCAGATATGTATGCTTCAGCAAAATCATCAACCCCGCCTTCAGTAGATTAAAGGGCGGAAGAAGACTGAATGTCATTGATGAAATCTGGTATCGAAATTTCGCGGAATTTCCGGAAGCTCACTTCTTTCCTTGCACGATCTGGCTTACTACAATTCAGTGTTGCGTGGACAGTAAGATGATCACCTGATTGGTTCCCCTTTACATCACTTAGACATGAATCAGGCACTGAAATTGCTCAATGAATGACTAAGTTATCTTCCCTTGTTATGACCACATCCAGTGTGTGGCCATGTGTGTGTGTAGCTTCTGTCACATTCTGTATCAGACCCCTGGACTCTAGTAGCCCAGAGAACTGGCGAGCATCAACATTAGATAGATATTCGTATTGGAAGTTTAGGTCACCCGTGATAATAATCCCTTGTGGTACAACAACTTGGCGGTCTAAAAAGGAAGACCACGCATCAATAAGAGGCGATACAGGGGGCCTGTATCGCTCACCTGAATGTTTAAGCGGTCATAGCAAATTATTATCATTAACAATTATGTTGCACTACAAATATTTCCCGCGCAAACTTTGTCGGCTCCATCTGTTGAAACTATTATAAGATTCTATGCTTTCATGACCAATGCCGATACCCATAACATATTGTATCCGTTCCAACATGGTTTTCGCAAATCGCGATCATGCGAAACCCAACTTTTTGAATTTGTGGATGACATCTCAAAGAATCTTGATGAGGGACGCCAAACAGATATCCTCATAATGACCTTTGCTAAGGCTTTCGACAAGGTCAGTCATTCTCTCCTAAACCATAAACTAAAACATTATGGTATACGTGGAAATGTCGCAAACTGGATCGAGAGTTTCCTGACCGGTAGAACTCAGACAGTAGTAGTTAAAGTGGAGAAGTCTGATTTTGTCGATGTCCATTCCGGGGTACCCCAGGGGTCAGTTTTGGGACCCAGTTTATTTCTTTACTTTATAAACGATATCCCTGTGGGTCTAAATGCTACAATCCGTTTATTTGCAGACGACACTATTGCATATCTAGTTATCAAGTCAAACAGTGATGCTGAAACACTTCAAAAAGATCTTGACAAACTAGCGCTCTGGGAAAATACATGGAAAATGATCTTCCACCCAAACAAATGCAATGTGTTGTCGGTGACTAAAAACAAAACTCCAATAGTCCATAATTATACTTTACATGGACACATACTGGAACATCTTAGTCAGGCCAAGTATCTGGGTGTAACACTATCATCTGACCTTAAATGGGATTCACATATAAATACTATCTGCCCAAAAGCAAATTCTACGCTAGGCTTTTTAAGACGAAATCTTAAAATTGGCTCAACATCAGCCAAAGTACAGGCATACAAATCATTAGTTCGACCATCACTTGAGTATGCCTGTACAGTATGGGACCCTCACACCCAAACAAATATTGACAAGTTGGAAATGGTCCAGCGAAGGGCAGCGCGCTATGTGCTCAATAAGCACAGGTACAACCATCGTACCTCCAGTGTGTCAGAAATGTTGGACCACCTAAAGCTGCGCCCTCTAGCAGATAGACGTAGAGATGCTCGTCTGACCATGCTTCATAACATTGTAATCCAGAAAGTCGCTATCGTAAAACCAGACAGATTAATCCCTACAGTTAGAAAATCCCGAACAAACCACCAGTTTTCGTATCAAATTCCCCACTCAAAAACCTAGACCAGAAAGGCATCATTCTTCCCTCGAACTATACCCGAGTGGAATAAACTCCCACCTGACATTATTTCGAGCCCCACAATGGAATTATTCAAATCAGCCCTCTACCGTCACTTTTCAAACGCAAATTAGACCATCTCGTATCTTTTAAAAACAATCTCTTTCCATATTTCACTCCTCGTCTGACCTTTTTATCTTAAAATTGTTGAAGTTGGTCTGTACCATTTAGAAGTAGAAGTAGTGCTCGCCTAACAGCACCATTTCCCGCACGTGTCCTATGTCTTGTGCGCAGCTTTCCCCCCAATTTGATTTCTGAAAAACCTCCAAAATATGCGTGCTAATATCACGACTCACCGGTCTAAGTGACAGGAGAAGAGATCTACTATACTTAAACATATATGAATGTGATATCAATCTCCGCTGATGGAAGAAAAAAAATCACAATATGGAAAGTCATGGTGCTACAGGTGTTCCCGCATTAGTCGCCTCTTCCGTGGCATGTATCTACAACTTCTTGTATTTGCAACATAAACGAAACAACAACAAAAACAGTTAAAATTCATATTAATGGTAGAGTTGGCAGTGACAAAAATCGCGGTAAACTTACGTGTAAATTTACTAGTGAAGTAGATTATGTTATGTGTTTGAGTATTGCGC